ATGATAAAGGACATGCATTTTGAGCCGTTTTTGCTGGTGGAAGGGGAGAAATTCTCTTGCCCAGATACTCCTTGACCCCTTTGCGGGCCCATGGAAGGGGCCACAGACACAGCAACACTATCAGATCTCGACCGTGTGCCTGCTGCCCTGTGTTGGGCTACGTCACTGCTGAGTCAAACGGCCCAGGTGGCAGGGCACCCGATGTCTCGCATGGCGTGACTATGCTTTCTCTTCACTTGTCTGTAATCTGGGCTTCCTCACTAGACCTTACTTGTTAGGTAGCTGAGAAAAAGCTGCAGTCTCACCCGGTACAAGGATTCAAACAGTCCTGTTAGGTGCTGCTCCGTCCCTGAGGCCCTTCTGTCTCCAGCTGCCCTCCCTGCCCCTCTCACGAATATCATCTCGCTCTAAGAGGAGCAGGGTCACTCAGGCTCTTACTGGGGCCTCTGGGGTCTGAGATCTTGGTGTGGAGCCCTTCGCCTGCCCATCTACACATCCACCCACCCACGCATCTGCCAACCCCCAGGCTTTACGGCTCAAGTTGAGGTCCCGGTCCCTCGGATCAGTCAGGGCCTAGAGTGGCTCCTTGGCTGACCAGCTCTTGCTGGCTGTAGGCCCCTCTGGGTCTCTGCCTCCCCACCCAGGTCTGCCCCTGACCCCGCTGCAGGGTCACACACAATGGCCTTCGGCTCTCTCTCAGCATCTGCATCATGCGGGAACAATAGGAGATTCTGGGTGCAAAATACACCCACTTGCCACTGGATCACACTGGTCCGCCCTCTCCACTCCCCGGGCCTCCCCGTGTTGCAGGGCCTGCCATCCTGTCATTGCGGCCCCTCCACAGTGGCAGAAGCTCCCGTCTGTCTGCCAGACGAGCCCTCACTATGTTAAAGGAGAGCTCAAGCAATTTCGCAAATCTCTCCACAAATCTTGGCAGTTGAGCCAGCTGCTCTTTCTCTTTATTCTGTGCTCCCTTTTTCTTCTCTGGCTCTGAGTGATAGGCCTCCTGACCCAGCTTCTAGGAAGGGAGGCTCCAAATGGAACATGGTTTACAGGCAACAGGGTGGGGTGGGAAGGATCAAAATACATTGCTTCATATTTGCAAAATATTCTCCCACATACAACCATTCCTCTTCCAGGCCTGTCACAGATAATGGAACCAACATCTTTCAAGGCACTTTTCTTTGCTTCATTTTTAGTCGTGTTTATTCAACAACTGTTATTGAGCACCTGTGACACGCAGGCACTATGCTGGGAGCCAAGTCAATAGTTGCCTCACAAATATAAAACGATTTGGGAGTTCCGTAAATGGTTATCCATAGAGTTACCCTATGACCCACAATTCCACTCCTAAGGCTATACCCAAGAGAAATGAAAACATATACGAAAACGTGCACTAAATTTCATAGCAGCAGTATTCATAATAGTCAAAAGGCACAAACAACTCAAATGCCCATCAATGGATAAATGGATAAACAAAATGTGGTATATCCATACACTGGAATATTACTTAGCCATAAAAAGAAATGAAGTACCGAGAGTGATGGATGCCTTTGTGGAGCTCACATCCCAAATGAACACAAAAGCCCAGCAAGGCTTGCTAGTCATTCATTCACTGATCACATATTTACTGTAGCCTCACATTATATGGAGTGAATGCATGAAGCAAACATGTCTCTTCCTCAGGAGTAACTTAGAGCAAAGGAAACAAGTACTGAGCAAGTTTATCACTTTGATCAAACACTGAAAAGAAACTGACATTCAGTAAAGGTTTACATATACTGAAAGTGAGAATTTTGTTAAAGTTCCCCTCAGTATGGCTTTCTGGGAAGTTAGACTGAGTCGAGACAGTCACGCAAAGAAAAATAAGAGATTCCGAAGGCTAGAGGACAAGTGAGAAGACGGGTAATCAGGAAAAAAAATGAGTATATTCCAGCAGAATGATTTTGCCAGTTAGGAGGCGTTTCCAAGTTGCGATTTTAATTTCTCGTTGAAGCGGGAAGTAATATCAGGAAAGAGGAAAGCGCCAAACACCATCCATCTCCAGTATCAGGAAATCTTTGAGAATAGATGTGAAGGGAAGGAGTGACTCAGTGGCTGAGAGGGGAGGGAACGAGGGTGTTTCGAAGAGATGAGGAAGATTTTATTAAAGCATGGCTTCCTTCTTCACTATGGAAAATTCTGGGAAGGATAGCCAAGAGGTCACGACGGAGGGCAAGGAGATATACAATGATGATGTAACTGGGAAACCAAGAGGACTGCTTGTCGATACACAGCCCACGGCGGAGATCTCGGGGTCAAAAAGTAAAGCCAGAAAACTTGTCCAGCTGACTTTTTCCACACATACAACCTCTTGTTCCACCTCGTTTATTCATTTTAACACACAAGGATTCTAGGAAAACTTTAACGAGAAGGCTAAGTGATTAAGGCACGAAAAGGCTCTCGAACAAGGCAGAGTGAGGCCAAAGAGTTAAGACACTTGGAAAGCTGGGAGGAGGCAAGGAAGATGTGGGAAGAGTATAAAGTTAAGTGTCAAGGGTGATACAAAATCTGGCATCTCCGGAGTTTAGGGGAGTTTGAGACTCAGAGTGACCCCAGGCACAGAAGAATCTGTGATGAGCAAGGCAAGGTTTTCTTTTCTCTTGAAGTCAGGTGCTTCCGTTGTGTTTGGGTTTGCCCCGCTGGCTGCCTACCAAAAGGGACAAATGACAAAGATGTCCCATCTCCTTCAAAGGCGATGTGGTTACGGACAGGGATTTGGGCACAGGAAGTTGCCAAAGACAGGTCCAGGCTCTGCTGCTCCCTGGCTCTGTGTCACTGACCACGGGCACAGGCTCTGCTGCCCTAAGCTGTGCCCTCCTCCTTGAGGGTGGGAGCGATGAGAAAAGGGCTATTGTCGGGCCGAAACGAGATAGCGGAGGCAGAGCTCCTAGCACAGTGTGGCACTTAAAATATATCACCAAGCCTCAGAGGCAGTTTTCTTTCAGTATTTTAACATCTCTACAACCAGGATATGCAGAATTTTTTCTTAATGGTGCATATAATGATGGCACATCTTGCAATTTATGGTGTCTTAGATTTGATAAAATTTGGAAGTAGACGTCCAGCAAGCGGCAGTTAGGGCGCTGTGTGGCTGTGCTTCCTGAGCTGGGTCTATGGTCGTGTCCACGTCCAGGATCTCCCTCCTTCTCTCTAGGCTGGTCGAGCCTTTTCCCTGGTGGGGCAGGAGCCCAGGCCCCAGAGTAGCCTCGCTGAGGGCAAGTCTTGGCTCAGTTCCTCCTTGCCGTGGACCCTGCCTCTCTGACCCTCAGTTTCCCCTCTCTACGAGGAGGCTAACAATACTGCCTACTCTTGTAGGGTCATTGTGAGGATTAAATGAGATAAATTTGTGTAAAGTGCTTTCTTAGCACAATGCTGCATTGTATAAGCGTTAAATAATGATGACGGTGCAAATAATAAGTAAAAGTACCTTTTATAACAAGATTACATTTTCTAAAATGTGGTGCTATTATTATTATTATTCTTGAGATACCTCAGGAGCCCCACCATAAAATATCCATCTGGGATTCTCAGTGGGAAGAGACCTCAGAACCCAAACAGCCCTCATACTGTGCGATGGTGTCCGAGGGCTGCAGCCTCCCACTGCCTCACCCGGAACCCCTCCTCCTTTCCCCTCCCTCCCCTCCCTCCCCACCCCTGTCCCTCCATCCTCCTTTCTGAGCCAGCTTTCCGTCTGCCCATCTCAGGACTCTAGACACATTACTTCAGGAACTATTTACCTTGGAAGGAGGGCTACCTCGCTCCCCCTGGAAAAAGCCACCACCAATCCTGGCTGGGGTTTTCACAGCAGTTAATGCCCCAAGACCTCCTCCAACAAGGCTCTTCTCTGTCCCTTCATCGTCCTATTCCTCTTGCACCCTTACTGTTTCACCCAGCTCTCTGCCCCATCCTTGCTGAACACGCAGTGAGGGACCTAAATGCAAATGGCCTGTTTTTCTCACAGTCTCTTACCTCTATCTAGTAAGCCTGTATATCAAAATCAATCAAGCTTTATATGTATAACATTAATGACTCAAACACCCATGGCCTCACCATATCATCAGATCCCCCTTGGTCTTTCCCACCCAAAGCTCTCCATGGTCCTGAGAGCATTGCCCAGCCTTCCCCTGCAAGCACGGCAGACAAGCTTTTCTTCTGGGGAGGCTGCAGAGGCTCACGGGTAGATAGGCTTTGCCAATCCCTTTCTTGAGCCCTAATTGTTCTCATTATTTCATGAGCACTAAAGAGAGAGCTCATGACTCTTCTCCAGGTTGGCTCTCCAGCAAACTTTTCTCTTTTGAGGTGAGATCCCCTCTTGCAATCTGCCTTGTTCTGCCTTTTATAACTATCCTGCTTTGCCACATCAAACCCAGGTCAGGAAAACCCAGACTTTTGTCTGTAACTTTGCCGATGGAATTCTGTTGAAACATGAGCCACTCCAATATGGCATCTGATAAAAATCTCAGACTTCTTCAGTGAAACAGCCACTGGCTTACCCTCAAGGTCTGGTTATCGCAGGGTTAGATATGGAGCAGCGTCTGGGCCGTGCCCCTAGGGGAAGCTGTGGCATTAGGACTTGTCACTGAGTTTGTAACACAGCAGAATGACTCTCATTGCATAAGGAGCAAGTCAAAAAAAGTTGTTTCTGCTCACTTAAAAATCTTAAGGACATGGTGTGATGTGCTGGATAAGATGGGTGTAAGCTTTCACAAAAAGCAGCAACAGTATGGCATCGTTTAATAAGAGGGTAGAAAGCATGGCGTGTTAGACAAGATCCTTCACATTTACTTAATTATCAGTCTGTCCATCTGTCTGAATATCCTTTGACACGTTTAGAGAATAACATGTGGCATTTAAGCCAGGATATGGAGGACAAAGTGGCATATAAAGACGTCTACATGATAGCAAAATGAGCCAAACTCCAGCCAAGAGAAGAAGTAAAGGAAAGAAAGGCCACCCACCTTGTAGTCTCTTCCGGGCCCACGGGGAGAGGCGACAGGAGGGCAGGAGCAGGTGTTCTCCCACTACCAGCGTCCTATGGTTCCGAGGTTTTCTTTTGGGGGCTCTGAAAAGCCAAAGATGCTATTAGGCTTTGGAATGTAGGGCACCTCTCCTCCAGGTTCTCTGGGGCTATCTCCTGCCTCATCCATGCCCAGAAATGAATGGAGGCAGCGCCCTAGCCAGCCTGGTGGTGGCTACCTGGGTACAACCCTCTGGGAAACCAGCTCCTTTTCTGTGTCAGCCTTCCCATCCCAGCTCTCCCCTCCGGCTCCTCTCCTACCTGCCACAGAGGTCCTGCCTGCCCACTCACCCGCACTCACAAAGGCAGGTCTGTCTGGAGCTGAGGAGGGCAGGCCCACGGGGAGGGCCCGGGCTCCACACCACTCCCCTTCCTTAAGGAAGCGAACAGGTCCAGTCCAGTGAGGCGGAGGAGGATGTTCCCCTCCTTAAATATCTCCTCGCAGGCTCGGGCAGAGAGGCGGCAGCTCTGTGTGAAAGGAAGGTTTTCTGTTTGGACGCCTGGTCCAATAGGGCTGTGCAAATGGGGCCTGTTACTGCCCAGATTAAATCAGATTAAATCAATCTGGATTTAACAAGCCTCTGTCTAACCTTTTGCCACTGACTCAGTCTAAAATGTTTAGCTTCCCTTTGAAAACCGCTTCCATTTATTAGTATGTATAAGAGATGTGGCCACTAAACTTTCTGCATTTTCCATTTCGCAGCAATTGAGATGACGGTATGACCTTGAGGAGACTGCTCTGGGCTTCACTGTCCCTATTCACTTAATTAAGTCACCCCGGTATGGATGTGAGGGCGATCTGGCTGCGACATCATAAACCACCTCTGTCAAGACCCTTAAATACAAGAGACCTGACAAGACATAAGAAAGGAATAAAGAGGGAATCGTCATCAAAGGCATGGGCTCTGAAGTCAGTCTTCCTGGACTTAGGTCCAGAAAGTCAGTTTGCCTCTCTAAGCTTCAACGCCTTCACCTATAAAGCGAGGCCAGTGGCAGTGCCCACCCCACGTGTTCATCATAAGGATGCAATGGGGACCGTGAGTGAAGAGCTTAGCATGGTGCCTGGCACATGTAAAGCATCTGGTGGTTTTAGCCATTATTTTTACTGTTATGCTTATTCAGGAAGAATAAGACAAGCTCCCAGTCCTTGACGAGGATGAGAAGGAAACTGTAAATAAGATACATTGTGATAAGTGCTGTGACGGAGGTGACAAAGGCTGGGGACAAAGGGGTCCAGGAGGATTCGGTGGAAATTGTGGCAGCTCAACCACAAGGACAAACAGTCTTTACACAAGCACACATGGAATAAAGAGATAGTGAGAACCAAGACCTGGGCACGGGCAGGTGGAGGTGGTCTTCTTCCAGCATGCCTGACTGGTGGGCGGGGGTGGGAGGAGGTACAGGGTCAATGCATGCTGGTTTGAAGATGGATCACAGAGGACCTAGAATGATGCCATTCCGAAGAGTTTAGACTTTTATCTGCAAGCAGTGGGGAGCCAGTGGCGACTTTTGAGAAAGGAATTTGGAAGATGCTTCTGGTAAATCTTTTTTGGGGTGGGGGTTGGGGCAGAAGCAGAGCAGAGGCCGAGGGGCATGGTGCTCTGCATTTCCATCTCTGAAAAAATCATCAGTCTTCAAGTCTTCGATTAACATTTGTTTTCTTCACTAGACTGCGAGCTAGTCTGGGGCCGGGGCCATCTGCTTTCTCCACACTGTCGTGCCCCTGCACAGTCCCTCGTGTTCAGTAAGTAGTTGTTAGATTGAAATAGACAAGAAATCCTCAACTAGCGCCATGAGAGTAGAGGGGAGAGGATGGATCTTAAATCACTTGGGGAAGAGAATAAAAAGGATTTGCCAAATGACGAGCTCGGCAAAGGGATAATCAGAAATAACTTGGGGTGTGGGTGGTGAAGACAGAAGAATCGATGGAGCGGCTGTTTACTGAGAGAATGGACACAGCCAGGGGAGGCCCATTCAGCAGAACAAACGCTGAGCTCACAGTGGAGTGTGCTGCGTCTGAGCTGAGGGTCACCCACCCGTATGGACCTGACTTGTGCAGGCAGTGGAAACGGGTTCTGGAGAGAAGCCGGGGTTGGAGGCCGATGTGGGAGAGGGGGGATCTTTAAGGGAGAGATCTGAAGAGAGAGGCAGAGAGCAGCAGCCACCCTGGGGGACACCCCCAGTTCCAGAGATCCCCAGTGCAGCTAGTTATCTCAGAGGAGAACCCCCAGAAGACTGGAGCCCCAAAGGTGCAGGGTCAAAGCATTCAAGGGGGATCCGCGCATGCCAGCCCTTCCATTACCAGAAACCTTCCATTGCTTCCCACTCACCAGAGGTTAAGGCCTAACGTCCTTGGCAAATCATTTCAGTGACCCTAAATCTGGTCTGAAAAGCCTCACCTCCCACTCTCACTTTTCCCATCTCAGCCACCTGGGGCGCTCCCCTCTCTGTTACACACCAAGGACTCCAGGCCCTCACGAGCCTGTTTATTCTGTTTCCTCAGCCTGCAAGGTACCTTCCCTTCCAATTTCTACTAATCAAAACTCCTCTTAATCTTCAAGGCCTGCACAAAAGTCTACCTGCCCTGCAAAGCCTTCCCTGATCTCTCCAGTAAGAAGGTCCTTCCTTCCTTTAGGGACCCACAGTACAGTGCTCTACCTACCAATTATTTCATTCCTTGTAAGATTCCTTTGAGTAATTGTCTTGTCTCTCCCCTCCACTAGCTTACAACAACATGAGAGCAGAGAACACAATTTATCATCGAATCTCCCGTTGCATGATCTCTTACACGTAGAAGGTGCTCAACCAACACCAGCAAATTAGATGAAGAAAAAAACACCTGAGAGCAGTAGATGCTCTTGGTTCTGTCACTTCCAGTGATTTATTTGGAAATTATGGGGTGCCTTATGGTTGTTTGACTTTTGACGTTTGCCCCACAATTAATATCTTGGCCCTGTGTTGTGTTGCCTTATGATCAGATGTGTACCTATGATTTCTAGAGCCATTTGGACACTATTACACATACATTAAGATTTCTTTCCCGAACATTTCTCATAGTTAGACAAAAATGGAAAAACTTGGCTTGTTCATCAGAAGTATTTTATCACATGTGCTCCCCAAAGCAGAGGTTTAGAGAAATCCCTACACAATTCCTCCAAGATCATAAACATATTTTAAGAGCCATGAATTAGGAGGAAAAAGTTTCCCAGCACTCAATTTACAAACTCAAAAAGCATCTGTTCATTTAATCATCTTGCATCTTCTTCTGACTCTCTGAACAGGCTCTGACGGTATTTAGATTAAATGAGTTTAATGAATTATTTCTCAACAGTTTGCTGCTTGTGAGGAAACGTATATTCAAGAAAGGTAGTCAGCATGATTTGATGAGCACCTACTGTGTACCCACGGCGAGTCTGTGTTAACAAATGGCGTAGGATACAAGAGTCAGACGAGTTCCTTCCATGGACTATGTTTTAGTGGTAAGATATTTACTATTTTGTTATGTAAAACTGAGAGCAATTTAGGATTGATGTAGACAGCGCTGCTTTTTTTGCCTGCTTCGTTTTTATTTTAGGATAGACAGTTACGAAACACAGCTGTCTAAATGGAAAGAGAGGCTACATTTCTTATGCAGCTGTGAACAACAGGGTTTAAATATAGTATCTCTACTCCAGCAAACCTGGTTCTTGGCAAGAAAGGAAAAAAGACTTGATTGCTTTTTCACACTTTAGGCTTGATAAACATGCACAAAAGGTAAAAGGGTAATATAGCCAGAGAGTATGCTAAGTGATTTTTAAATTCATTTTTCTTGGATCCTGGAGTGTAGGTGGGGAGGGAGTTTTCCAAAGCATTGAACTTGTGTAGAAACTCCTCCTTCATCTTCCTAATAATAGTAATCACCATTTTCTGAGCATCTAATTCATGCCAAGCAGAGGCTCACAGGGCTTTACCGTTTTACTTTGTTACATCCTCTGAGGCATGTGCCATTTACACTTAGGGAAACTGAGGCTCATAAAATGAATTCGCCTGGGGTCACGCAGCTGCTTAGGGGTAAGACTGGAATTTAAACTCAATTATCTAATTTCAGACCCACATTTAAGCCACAATCGGGATTTTTCTTAACTTACCTCCATTGTGGCAGAATTGCACCAAAAGTGTTCTTGAGAGGTGAGCAATGACCAAAACATGGGAAAATGGGAAGTGTTCTAAATGACATCTCTTCAGCTTTAAGTGATTCTGAAGACAGACACAAGAAACGTGCTAGCTGGCCTGCCCCGAAGAGCCCTCACAGTAAGCGTCTTTCTTGCTTTTATGTTTCAGTACACTGTAGAATGAATGCTCTTTCCTCTTTGATGGTAATACAGCTACGTATAAATTTTTTTTTTTGTAGAAGGATGTTCAATTTAGCATTATTAATAATAGTGATCACAAACTGAATAACCAATACGGGAGGACTTATTAAATAAATAATAGACAGGTGTACTGCCCCATTAAAATTTCTATTATAGAAGAATTTTTAGAAAAATAGAGACTGCCCATGATATATTGCCAAGTGAAAATGTAAGTTATAAGTCTACAAATACAGTTTTTTGTTTTACATATACATTCATGCATAGATCGATGAACAGACAGACATAAATGCAGGAAAAAAACTGGAAAGGCATCAATAAATATGATCACTATTTTAACAGTGGTTATCTCTGGATGATGGCTAAATTTTTATTTTCTTAAAAGTTCTTAGATTTTATTTTATTTTTACTTACATTTTCTATAATGAAATATGTTAATTATATAAAAATAATTTTTAAATAATCTGTACTCATTAAATCAATAATTTCATTAAACAAATAGTTTTTCAATATCTACTATGTACCAGGCATTGTGTATTCAAAACATTAAAAACATAAAACTTAAAAAAAAAAACAAACCCTCAAAAACAAAGGTACTTATATCCCTGCTCTGCTAACATTTTAGATGGTCTCCTTCAGGTCTTTTTCTATGCAGTTTTAAAAACACCGTGGTGACCAAAACAGCAGCGGTCAAGC